AGTCACGTTTGATCAATGTCATCCAACTAACTGATAAACATTTTTTCCTTTTGAAGTATGTAAATAAAGTGTTAAATAACATTATTTTCATAAAAATAATTAACAAACTTTGTTATTTACTCCTCTTAGTTGTTCCCCTTGTTGGACAAGCATTTGATGAGTTTCAGCTCCAATTTGTTCATTCTCTCTTCCAATGACAAGTGCCTCACTCAACATATCGTTTTGTTGTTGTAAAAGGGATTGTGCTTGATTGTACTCTTCCATTTCTTTCAATTTTCTAGTTTCTTCTGATTTTTAAGATTTCAATTTCGTTTTTATCCTTCCTTTTTGAAATTTTTTATTGTTATCTTTTTATTTTTAGTTCATCATGATCTTATTATTATTTACGTCATATATAACAAATTATAATATGTGTTAAACCTCAATCTTAATAAAAGAGAAAAATGAACTTGAACTCATAAAGATAATGACAACACCAGAAGTTGTATTGCATCCTCTTGCATTGATTTCTATCACCCAAAGTGCTACACATAAAACAATTAATTGTGGAACAAACAAACCTGAAAGAAGTGTAGGGATATTACTTGGAATTGAAAATGAAGAAGAAGTTATTGTACGAACATCATTTGAAATTCCAGAGAGTCAATTACTAACTAAAATGAGTGAAGGTGTTAAATTAAATTCAGAAGTAAATAAAGAATACAAAGTAGTTGGATGGTATGCTGGAATGGCTAATGGAGAGCCACTAACTAGTGATATTGAATTACATAGTCAAATTGTTGGTGAAAATAAGAACGGATTATTTTTAATATTAAATATAAGTAAATGTTATCAAAAAGAAACAGATAAAATTCCAATCACATTTTGTGTATTAAGAAATGAATTATTTGTACCATGTAACTATCGTATTGCATCTGTTGATGTTGAACGTATTGGTATTAATGAGATCATTAATTCAGGAAGTTCAGTAGAAACTGATAAAAAAGAAAAAGAAGGAATAAGTCATGCTATAGAAACATTAAAAAAGAAAGTTGACATTCTAGTTAAATATTTAAAAGGAGTTGAAAATGGAATTATTCAAGCAGATGATCATATCCTTGCTAAAATTGCACAAATTTGTTCTTCTATTCCAGTCAGTAATAATTCAGTATTCAGAGAAGAA